CACGGTTGAAGCCTGGCCAGAATAAATCAGTTGGGTAAATGACACCCAACTTAAAAGGCATGAAGCAAAAGGAGGGACGAAACAACGGCGTTGGCGTGGGTGTGCTCCCTCCCCTTGCGCCACGGACAATTAGGCCAGGTGTGGCAGGAGGAGGGAGGGGGGGAAACCACACAACAATCCACCGCCAAGTCCAGAACACCTCAGGATCTCGGTTAAGAACTCCACGCCCAGTTCTTGGTCAGGGAGTGCCTGATCACACGCACTCCCAGAGAGCAAAGCGGGACCACCAACACAACCTCAATCCTGAAGACCATTGTGTGATGCTTGAGGAAGGACAGGATCACAGAAGCTCACACAACGCCATTTCCACAGCTCGAAACAATTGTACGTGAGCGCGCACCCCACAAACTTTAAAGGTGAATCCGCACCAACATAACACATCCATATGTCATATCTTGGTCAATAATTAGTTCGATTGGTTGTTGGTTTGTACTGTGTTCGTGTTGGGATCAGGTGCGGTGATAGTTTTGAGCGTAACCTCCGATAATGGCCATCCTGCACGCGCCCCTGTCAGCGTCGACCTCCTCAGTATTTGAGCGGTTGCTTTTGTCCGTCGATGGTTTTTCTGTCGCTCTCTCCCTGTTCTGCTCAACTGGAAGTTTATCTTATTTTATTTCCATCCTATTTTCAACTCCCCCACCATCACTGACTGCTCTGTGGAGTCGGTATGGAGCCATGGCATCCCGCTTTGGTTCTCCAGTTACATTGCGACAGAGAGGAAGCAACTCCAGAGGGTCACAAACACCATCCAGAGGTTAAATGGCTGCCCTCTTACATCTCTGGAGGAGATCTACAGGACCCACTGCCTCTGGAGAGCCCGCAGTATCATCAAGGACACCTCAGACCCCGGCCACCACCTCTTCAAACTCCTGCCCCTGAGGGCAATAAAGTCGAGGACGAACAGATTAAGACAGTTTCTAACAAAGAGCAGTAGATTCCTTCAGCACAGCTAATCCATCTAAAACCTGATCTTTATATATTCATTTGATCATCCAAGTTGTTCTGTGTTTCTACCATATTTGTTATATTTATTGAGATATACTTTTTTTATTATTTTATTCAGTTATTTGAACTGTCTTTGAGAGTTGCTATTTTTAAATTTTGTGGTGCACAATGACAATAAAAGGAATTCCAGTTCAGTCAATCAGAAGTGACTTTCTAGACCTTCCACAGAGGCTCTTAATTACTTTGGCAAAAACGTGATGAAGACCAAAATGTTTTTAAATATAGATACAATAACAAATGCAGATTTGAGACGTTGTGATGGATTTATTGCAAGAAATAGCCACAAAAGATAAAAACCCCATGCATTCTGCTGTCTCAATGGCTCCCCCTGTTGTGCGTGCATTGGATTAACTTGATAGGGTTTGATTAAGTGTGGAGGAGTTTGGGTATGTGTGGTGCCACAATTTGCACATAGACAATACAACTTTAAAATTCTGAGTGTGGTATTAAAAAATCTGCTTATTACTGGTATTTCAGATCTGTGAATGAATCAGCACTTTTGATTTTTCTCTTTTGCTCTCCTTTCTCTTCCTGCTGATTCTCTGAATGAGCTATATAGCTTCTTATCTGTTCTCAAAAAACTTGTTCTTTCAATCTCTACTCTTTTTTTTTTCTTTTTTAAAAAAAAATATAAATCACATAATATTCTGGCTAAAGCCACAGAAACAAGAGTTGTTGCATCTTTAAATGTACCATTAACTTCTCCCGGAAGTTAATGGGAGAAGACCTTATGTAAGGAACAAGACCTTTTGTAAGTTTCCAAAATCCTGTTTAAGAATATATTTTTATTTTTCTGCCTCATGCTCAGAATGCTGCCAAAAACTGAATATTCCTTCGACGCGGTTTCAGTAAATTCCATCATTTCTGTTGCAGCATTTGTATAACTACCACCATTAGCACGTGAAAACAATAGAGAGCGTTAGCATTTATAGCTGTAAACAGGACTATTTATATCCGTCATCACAGCTTTTCACTGTGAGAGCCTGTTGCATTTTGAGCCACCTGTAGTGTTCCTATTTTGCCAGTAGGTGGAGTTCTGCGCTTTGTAAAAACGGGCACAAGAGCAAAGAGTACAAGACGCACAACACCTTCCACCTCTGTAGCCTGACGACTTTCATTAATAAAGTGAATGAATTAAAGGAGTACTGCGGCATCTTCAGTTATCAAATCAAATTTTATTAGTATATCACCTTTCAGCAAGGCATTTCAAAGTGCTTTACATTATAAAAACGCAAAATTACAAAGTCATAGAACATACAGTCAACATTACATTTTGCACATGTTTAGGAAAAATCTGTTTCGTTTTGGGAGAGAGCGATACACTGAATCAATCAGAGAAATGCACATTTGTCTTTAGATATTTTATTTAGAAAATCAGAGTAAATATCAGCGTCTGAGAAAAGAAAAGCAAGAGAGAAGGAAGAAGAAGAAGTGAAGCTCAACACATACAATTCTCCTTTTATATCTTATCATTCACATACACGGTGCCTTCCGCCCATCTCTCTCCTGTTTGGAGTTTCTCTAAATTTCTCCCACCTCTGGTTAATTGGTACCTCTGTCTCTAAATCAAACCTGGTTCAAAGGAGTTTCGGTTGGAAAGAGAAGAAAAAAACATCTTCACTGAAACCTCCGTTATCAGTTCCATAAGTATAACACTTGCTCAGAAACATTCATTATCAGTTCATTCTTCCCAGTAAATAAGCAAAAGTTTTATTTTCCAAGGCACACATCAGATTATTAATTAATGTTTCATGATTAGGTTTCAAAAGCANAATTGACTTATAATTTCTTCTAGGGTTTTATAATGAAGTAGTTGAAATTGGGTCATTTTTCCTGCGTTTGTTTTATTTGAGCACAGCATTGGTACTTGCTTTGGAGTGAATGTGCAGATTAATCCTCTGATCTTTTGAATTTTCTCTGAAAAGAAACTGGAAAACTTGTTGCAGGCGGCATTAGATTGAAGTTCAGGTGGCAGCATCACAGGAGGATTTGTTAGCCTGTAGCAAATGGAGCTCGAGCATTGTTAAGGTTTTTGCTTATGACGTCTGCAAAGAAAGCCTCCCTTGCATGTTTTAGTGTTGTGTGATAGTTACGTAGTCTTTCCTTGTAGATGTCATAATAAACGTGTAGTTGAGTTTTACGCCATTTCCGTTCGGCTCTACGGCAGAGTTGTCTTGCAGACAGAACTGTTTGTGCATTTCTCCATGGAGATTTCTTCCTACCAGACACAACCTTCGCTTTAATGGGGGCAATGTAATCAAAGATATCTGAAAGTTTGCACTGAAAATCATCTACCAACTCATCTATGTCATTATAGCTTAAGGGTGAGGAAGAAGAGTAGATTTGATTAAATGTTTCTGCTGTGTTTTCTGTGAAAGTACGTTTTGTGATAGTAGCTGTTTGTCCAAGTGGGTTAACGGATAAAGAACATTCAAAGATGACAGCAAAGTGATCCGACAGGGCGACATCAGTTACAGAGACGTTGGAAATATTCTTACTGATAACCAGGTCCAGTGTGTGTCCATGAGTGTGTGTTGCTTGTTTGACATGTTGTGTTAAACCAAAACTCTCTAATATATCAAACAGCTTTTTTGGCCCTCGGTCTTCAGGTTGTCAACATGAATGTTGAAACCACCAATAATTATTAAACAATCATAATCAATGCATATGAGAGATAGAAGTTAATTCAAGTCCATAAAGAAATTTTCCACATATGTTGGAGTTTTGTATAAAGTTAGTGTCAAAGTTCGTTTGTGGCCTTTTACCTCAATTCCAAGATACTCAAAAGACGTAAAATGACCCAAAGAGATTTTACTACAGTTCATGGTATTCTTAAATATTGAAGCCACGCCTCCTCCTTTTTTGTGTTTCCTATTCTCACTTAAAAAATTGTACGTAGGAGGCGCTGATTCAATAAGTACGATTGCTTCATTATTGTCATTCAGCCATGTTTCTGTCAGAAATAAAACATCAATATTACGCTCGGTGATGAAATCATTAATTAATAGAGCTTTAGCATAGAGAGATCTGGTAACAGTCGCTGATGTTTTACCAGTTTGTTTTGGGACACTTTGCTTCTGATAGTCAGATATCCTTGAGCCTGTTCTTCTGAAGTGATGGCCACATTGCTGCTGCTGTTGATAAAAGAACAACAATTCTTGTTGTTGGAGGAAAGATGCGGCAGCGACGGATAGCAGCCGTCAATCCTAATGACTGGCATACCTCAGTGTGACCGCGGATTTGCAGCGAACACTTTTCACAAGGCAAGAAGATTAACGTTCATATACTTAAGTATTATTAGAAACGTATCAAATATCGCAATATGGCGGTACGCGCATAACTGTCAGTTACCATGGAAACGGTGCCCCACCGTCATGTAGCATAAGAACGGAAAAAACTGCTTAGCATCTCGTCTTCTGTACGTTTTTAAAGCTGCTCCGGTTTAAGGGGAAACGCTGTTTGTGACTTAATGATATAAATCATGTTGTGTGAATTCAGGCAAAGTCAGTAATTTGATCAACACGTAGGGAGGAGGCGATATGGGTCGGTTTCCAAGCTAGCCGTTTCAAGCTTGTAAACACCGCCGTCTTTGACCCCCAACCAGGTGTTGCTTTCAGACAAATTAGTTCGTCTCGAACAGTCGCTCTGTTCAAAACTCTCGTCCATCACTTCCGACGTCCATCATGGCGCCTAGAATGATTTGGTGATGTAGCTGCAAAGGGTCAATAGATTTTTGAATGTGATTCTCTTCTAAAGGAGCTTTTCAAAGGGGAAAACGTCTGTTGTGTAACATATAGCAGACATGTTTCCCTTAACTGTATGTTTTCTGTATCCCCTTATGTAACCGTAACATGCCCTTCATCCCTGATTTCCCGCATGTTCACACCAAAACTCTGCTGTTGATCTTGACCCTTGGTCTCTGGCTGCTAATCCAGGGTCAGGTGACTCGAGCACAGGAAGCAGAGGAGAACTATGTCATCAAACGGGAGCTGGCGGTGGTGAGACAGCAGTGCAACACGGCCAGCGAGAGCCTGGAGAAAGCCCAGGAAACAATCAGGGAGCTGCAGCAGCAGACGGTAAATCACCTGTTTCAAGCTTCACAGCCACTTTAAAAAGAAAGATAACCTGGTTTTTATTGTTCTCAAATCTTTTGAATTGCTCTTTTGAGCAGAAATCAAACATCATTCTTCTCTGCGGTGTACCTGTTATATAAGCACATTCTTATATTTGCAAAACTCAGGACTGTAGAACATTTCTGCAGTGTTGCAGAGACGATAAAACCAAGACAGCAGTGAGTTTATCGGGTTCGGTGCTGATTGTTTGGAACTTCATGTTTTAATCCAACCCACACTGAAAAAAGAAAACAGGTGATCCAACTTAAATATATTGCGTTATCTAGCCACAAATGGTCAAATTAAGTCCATTCAAGTAAATCCATTAAACAAACAGTAACTGTGACAAACCTAATTCAGTTACATGTGACAAATTAACGCAGTTCTTTTTATATTGGACCTCCATTCTCTTTTTTTCAGTGTAGATCTGCATTATCCATCATTTCATTTTGCTCATATTTAATCAATATTTGTAACTCCGATATAAAACTTGTGTCAAACAGCTGACATTAGATTGTCACAAAGCCACAAACACCCTCTTTCTTTCATTATGACCACCAGCAGCTAAAACCTGATAAGTTCATCATTGTTTCTGACTCCTACCAAATATACAACACCTTTTTATAGTGTTGGAAACCGCCAAAATTCAGTTAAACATCTCACAGCGACTGCAACTCACTGCAACACGTCAGTCTAGAGAGGGTTCAGAGTCTATGCCTGTTTGGTTGTTTATTAAAATTGCCAGCCTGCATAATTATTTGAGAAAAATCTAAATGAATACAGTGATTTCACTCTAAATGACGTCATTGCGAGTGGAGAATCTTATTCCAACTCAGATTGCTGGCACCCTCCGCCCCCCAGGGTTCACACACCTCCTCACACTCTTAGACAGCTTTGATAACCACGACTGAAAATCCCAGAATGACAAATCGAGAATTCTCTACTCACGCTATGTACTTGCCTGATTTAATGCTTTTGTATTTTACCTTGTAGGTATTTTTCCGCTGCATTTGCCGTTTTTCTGCTGCTCTCATACCCTCCACTTTGTAGTTCGACCTTGATGTGGTGGCTTAAAAATCTGCAGTGGCTTTCAATTCGCTGACGTCAGGGGTAGTCAGTGGGCAAAAGTGCAAGTTTATATTTTTGTGTGTGTGTTTATCGGCTGAATTTTGTCCAAGAAGAGTTTTGTTTCGTTGTCGCGCTCAGCAGATTTCCACGGATGCTCTCACTTAAAAACGCTCCTCTCAGTTTTGAATTGTCTGATTTATAATTATCTTCCTCAAATGCATCTTGACAATTTTCAGTATTCTGAGAAAAATGGTTGCAGATGTGTAATAGTAGTAATGCTTCTTCTTTTCTCCGGAGAAAGAAGCAAAAAGAGATGTGGCAGAGTTCACACCCAGGTTTACCACCCTTGTGGTAAACTTGCAGAAGAGAACTGCTCACCCTAAAATGAGCAGCACAATGCATCTGCTTTGCACTCTGAAATAAGACGCACAAAAAAGTTTTCAGTAAACAGAAAAGTCCTACAGCGCAAATTAACCCATTTAATCCCACCGGCAACAATTGTTGCCAGACATTTTTTCTAACTTGTGGAAGCTCTGGAAGAATTGTTTTGACTTTTGGCAGCTAATTGAAGTTTTTAAATCAAATGATAGAACGTCTATTCTAAGCAATATCAATTCCATGTGTCTAGTGTGAAAGGTCACATGACCAGACCTCTTTACTTCCTGCTTGTGACGCTGGAGGTAAATATCTGTCACAAACCTGAACCAGAGAAGTCAGTAAAATATTTAAATAAACAAATATAAATAAAATATTTTGAACATATGTTCTTTCAAGTGTCTTCTACTGATATGTAAAGAAAATTGTGATATGTAAAGAAAATTGTATCCCTTCATTCATCTTTTGATCATAAGAATACTTGGCAACAATTGTTGCCAAGTATTCTTTGCAGGAAAGAATTTTTGGGATTAAACGGGTTAAAGCCGATCAACAAACTGAAACTGATATCAGTTGCTGCTGTATGATGTGTGTGTGTGTGTGTGTAACATGACAGTTTGTGTTTCCAGTACACAGAGCAGTTTGTGAACAACCTGCAGACGCAGCTGGAGCAATCCCGGCTGCACGAGGCCGAACTGCTCGGCGCGCTGAAGGAAATGCAAGACAAGGTGCTCGATCTGGAGAAGGTAAAGCAACGATCAAGCAACAGTTTTTACATTTTGAAGTGAATCTGACAGCGTGCTACAAAATGTCATGGAGTCAACAAAAGTGTTTGAGACGAAAACTCAATTCTAAGTCTTTGGATTTTAGATTTCATGTTTACAGAATATCAAATCTCCTTGTGGTGTTAATCATTTAGCTGTAACATAAGCTTAAATGGACTGAAGTAATCGGCACCATTGGCTGATAAAAATGCATCACATAAACGCCCCAAATGGAACATTATGATAGGTTTCAGCGAGCGGTGCACCGATTTATCGGTGCTGATTTCCTTAATTTTGGGATATCAGTGATGGGACAGTTTTTACATGTCTACCGATATCATCTACTTTGGCAAAGATCTTTAAATCGACCATTTCCCTCTTCTTCTCTCCCATGAGAAAGATTTGACAGATGGACCGGCCTACCAGGTCATGCCTGCATGTTTTTAGTTAACAATAGTCACCAACTCTGTTGCCAACCCAGCAACTTTATTGTTGTATTTAGTGACATTTCAGACAAAAAAAGTTGGTGATGGCCAAAATCGGAATGGGCAGGTCAGGCTTTTTGGTAGATCAGTAATTGCGATTGGTCAGAAAACTACAGTCGGTGCACCCAGAGTTTCAGCTTGATTGGAATGAAATTGTAAACTGAATGAGAGAGGTGATTTATTCAGATCGATAATCTGAACAGTGTGCATGTAAACACCTTTTCTGATCTGAGTTTTGCAAACTGACCTGACTGTGCATGTGTGCACGATGTCAACGTGACGTTTGTCCACAGTCGGTGGCTAAACGCTACTGTGTGTGGAAGGAGCAAATCTGTTCTGTTGGTTTTTTCATCCTGTAACCAATATAACACGTTCCTTAACCTGCAGCTTAATTAGGAGGTTCAATAACGTCTCAGCAGTTAGTAGAACCTGATGTGGATCCATTCCAGGAGATTAAAAGGAACAGAACAGACACACTTCTATGTTTGTTTTTATATTCAGCTCAGACTGAAGTACAACTTTTTTTGTTTGTTTGTTTTTTTTAGGGAAATTTTTGCAATGCTGCTTCTATTCTAAACATGGCTATAAACTATGATGATTTATGATGTTTCCCTCCAACACATTAAACCAGACTCAACTTGATTGACTAGACTGAGATCCTTCATTTTTTTTTTTTAATTGTTATTATTATTAAGATATTCTTGCCAAAAAATATTATTTTTTAGAGGAGCAGCTGCCTACCTGATGAAAACAACATGGCCGCCCTGCAGGAAGAAGTGAAGCAGATGAAGCTGCGGGAACTGGAGACGCTGCGGTCGTTCAGAGAGATGCAGGACACCGTCACTGACCTCAACCAGCGCTGGCAGGTAAAAGACGCAGACAGCCAATGCGTCTCTGCGTGACTCTCTTGTCCAGGCGTGTTTAAGCAGCCGAGTTAGAAACATTTACTCTGTGTTCCTGCAGCATCACATGTCGCGCAGCACCGGCGGCGGCGGAGGCCACTGGAAGGAATCCCCGAAGAAGAACGCGATGAACGAGTTGCAGGACAAACTGATGACCGTCAGATTGAGGGAGGCCCAGGCCCAGGCTGAACTCCGGGAGGTCAAACTCAAAGCCCTGCAGCTGGACAGCCAGGTCAGATATCAACACTGTAGATCAACCTGTGATTGTGTTAAACTTATTAGAATCCAGAGTTTCTGTAATACTTTTAAGTCTTCTGGAACCATAGTTTTCCAAGATCTCTAAAGCTCTTCTTGCGCACAAAGGAGGCAGATCTAAAGTTGACCTGTTGTGCTTCCTTGAACTGGTCAGGATAGGTCCTATACAGAACATGTTTAATACATTTTTTTGCATAAAATCATTCATAAATAATGAGATTTTAGTTTGGTCAGTTCTGCCTATGTTGAGCTCCTTTCACAATGAGCTGCTTTAGAGCCTCTTGTCACTTTAAATCCACATAAGCTGCTGCTGGCTCCGCCCCCCAACTCGCACTTGAAAATGGCTGCAAACAGATGCACAATTATACAAACCTACATCCTCAAAAAGCAGAAGTAGAGCCTCCTGCACAACCAACAAAACTACCAAGCAAGGGGTAGATCAACAACCAAACACTCGTCTTTTCCAGCAGCCATTGTACTGGGCAGATCAAACGTGCTGGAGTTCAGCTTGGGTTGCTAGGTAACAGGCAGAGCTGTGCAGTGGTTGCTAGGTGATGAGTAGTGCCTGCTGATTTGTGATGTTACATTTGGCAGGTTTTTGAAATGGCTAATTTTCCAGACACCAAAAACCTTTACTTATTGCCAAAAAGCACCTATGTGCTTAGAAGCAGTAGAGACCAGAAAGGAAGTACAAAAATGTGCAAAATGTGAATTTTGCATAATATATCCCCTTTAAGAAACTCTTTACAGAAGAGAAACACCTCAACAAAACGAACAAAATAAAAAAGAAATGGTAAACAATTCGAGAAATGTGACTTGATAATGACGGACGATGTTATACGTCATGTTTTGTTCTGCTTTTTGTTACAGCGTCTTATTTCCGTGTCTTCCTCTTTTAACTTTCCTCTAACTTAGAACCAGATCCACAGCAAACTGATTGGCCGTCATGAGCAGGAACGCTCCGCCCTGCAAGATCGGCTCCAGATGCTGGCCAATCAGAACAAAGCTCTGCAGGCCCAGCTCAACGAGATGAAGAGGAAGCAGGCGGAGTCGGACTGCAAGGTGTGGATTCAGAGATCAGTACAACTATGAAGACCCAAACACAGATTTATAAAAATGTAACAGAGGCTGTTTGTGCACTTGAGAGAGAGCAAAGCTTTGGATGACTGAGCTGTAATAATTTTGCTTATTTCTTTCACAGTTAATTCTGTCTCTGATATATGTTGATTTAATCAGCCAATTTATTGTATTTTATCTGTTTTAATAGGATTGAGACACGGAAAAGACCAACTTCAATTCAGAATCACTTAGTTTCCTTTTTAAGATGAAGCGACTTTTATTTCCAAATCAGTCTGTGGCATACGGGTCGAACTGGATTTGACCAGTTCGGAGATGAAATGGGTTGAGAAAAAGATGGAGCAATTATTATAGTTTATAGTTCCATTTTTAGTTTAAGTATATTAACAAATTTGCCAGACTTAAAGGTTTTCTTTGAGAAGAAACAAAAAAAGCTATCAAAACATAAGCTTTGGATCCCTCTTTTAAAAATGAACAAGCAGCTGCTCCACTCACTCAGATGCTGATTTTACATTTTAACTAAAAGAAAATGTTTTTTTTTTCTGTTTTTCTTGGCAGAGTAAAGAAGAAGTGATGGCAGTGAGGCTAAGGGAGGCCGACAGCATGGCTGTCATGGCTGAACTCAGACAGAAGATTGCTGAACTTGAGATACAGGTGTTCATATAAAAGTCTCACAAAATTGCCAGCAGTGTTGTTGTTTTTTTAATCTGTGCTGATTTGCAGATTATTTCGCCACAGAGAGAGATTATCATGCTAAACTCAAGTATGTAACTGTTGTTGTAGAAGGAAGAAGGGCTGATCAAGGGGCAGCTGAACCACTCAGACTCCAGGCAGTACATCAGCCAGCTCCGGGACCAGATTGCTGAGCTAAAGAATGAGGTCAGAGTTTATTTATGCATGACCAGGAACCTGCCAACAACATTAAGATGTTTTTTTTTTTTTTACCTTTGATTCTGGTGTTATTTTGTTCTTCTTTCAGAGCATTTAAATATGCTTTAACAATGCAAAGACCCAGGGTTACTTCAAACTATTTCAGGGGATTTTTACGCAAAACTTTGGTACTGAAGCCTAATATTCAGTTTTGGACTTAAGTCCAGCTCACAGGTTCACAAAATACTGCAACTTGAAACATCTTGGCTGAACAAAATCTCTTTGAAGGTCTCTGTGATTCACTTTTGTTGTTATTTACTTCAAAAGGGACAAATCATATCACATAATATTCCAGAGTTTAGTTGTCATTTGTAGTCCCTTGAGGTACAATCAGTATAAATATAATATATTTCAGTGCAATACAGTTGACTTAACAAGCTTCTGCCACAAAAAGAATATAATAATGATGAGTAAAAAGCATTTTCTTCCTAAAAAGAACAAATCAAGTTGCAGGTTTAAACGTAATAAAAACAAAAGTTCACCACAGTGCATAAAAAGAAACTGAAGAAAAATAAGAATCGCATGATCAGTGCCTGCATATTTGATTACATAGGAGCCATGCTTTTTTTTTTTTTTTGCGGTAGAAAATTATTAGACGTTTTTTCTCATGAGTCTGAACGTATGAGTTTGATTTAATCTGTGCCCGATTATTCAAAAAGAAAGTAAGTAAAATGTTTTCAGAAGTTTTTTTTTTTTTGGTTGATCATTCCAATATCTAGAACATGTGACGCATCATTTAATTTTATTGAATTTCATTAAAACCACATCAATACAAAACTACTTGATCAAGCAAATATTCTCTTTAGACCGAATAAACTCGCACTAAAAATAAAGTGCACCCCGTTAAATTCTTGAGTTCTGTGCGTTTTGTACAAATCGAGTGTTTTGAGGTGCCTGGTTTTGTCACACTTCTATGTTGGCTCTATGTTTGCTTATTAATTAAGAGCATGATCTGTGGTGTGTGGTTTTTTTTTTTTTGAATATGCTTCAGATTAGAACAAAGTTAAAACCCAGCAAAGACAAGATCATTGCCACTTTGAAACTCTACATCTGATAGTCTTTCTTTTTCCCATGACTTGAAGTCATTCTGAAAGCGATTTCAGTATTCATTTTGAAAGCTTTATTGTGAAAATAAATTGACCAATAATTTAAAATGTAATCTAATCGGTAGGGCTGCTAAATGTGAAAATAGATTGATTTTTGGTTGCATTTTTATGTGCAGAATGAAAAGAAACATGCAGTTTATTAGAAGTAAGAGAAAAAGATTGAGCAATATTCACAAGTTGGCTTGACCCAAAAGATAAATCTGATTAAGCTCATGTCTGCCACCGTTTCCCCTAAATTCATACACAGTATTCACAATATTTTTATGATGAAGTAAAGAGCAACGCCAAGGAAAACCCTTCAAATATATTTTTTTTCATGCACTGTTTCTTTACAGCTACTTTTAAGTTCCTGCTCTTTTGTTAGATATGTCTGATCAAACTAAATGTTATGACAGCATTACAGGAACTTCTTTTCACTTGCACTGTAAAATAAATCTCCATCCTGGATAAGACTGAATTAAATCCAACCAGTCATTTTAAATGTTTCCTATCTAGGTTGTATTGCTAAGTGTTGAAAAGTAAGTAAAAACATAAACAAACCAGGTGATTTATAATGACACTAATTGGACTAATCTCTTCCAAAACCTCACAGATTTCAGTTCAATCTGCTTCATTCACAGATGATGCTGTGATGTGATTTAGAAAAAGTTTAAGATTTGAGTGAATAAAATGGTTTTCAAGTATTTGGTGGAGAACATTTCATCCATCCACACTGCGTAATTGCATGCAAATAGCCTGCAGCTTTGCTAACCCCTCTGAACAATCTCGTCATCTGCACGCAGCTTCATATCAAGACACCACTTCCACCTCGACACACGCAAACTCTTTTGAGCTTTTCTTGTAACAGCAGACCACTGATCCTCCCCAGCACCGGGGTTCTCATCACTCACTCCAGCAAGCTTTAATGTTTAATGCTGGCTGAGGTTTTCTTAAAAAAAACATTTCAGTAATCCCACAGATGTACAGCTCACTCAGTCAGATGTTGTCAAAATTCATGTGTTTGAAAACTCTGTGACGTGTTGCAGAGATAATTTCCAGCTCTGATTTGAGACTCAAACCTCCCACTCGGCATGAGTCTGGGTTTGTTCATTCAGAGAGTGGCTGTGCGTGACTACAACAGAGTTTGGTTGAACTTTGTAGTGAGCTGGTTGCGTTGAGAGTGCCCTGCTCTTTACCGCTCCACTCCACGCTACGCTTTTCTTCTCCTCCCACAACTTTTTTTTTTTCATCAAAGTGTTGGTTTTTTTTATAAGAGAGACTGAAACTTGCGTGAGTACAGATGAGGAAGCAATGAAGCATTTAGAGAAATCTCAGTGTAGTGACAAAGAAATCATCTTGGCATTTACTCATTCTGGTACCGCTGATGCATAATGCCATCGTCTTTGCACTCCAGGTGATCAACTTGGCATTAATATCTCTAAAAAAACAAAAAAATTAGCCTAAAACTTTAAACTAGTTCATTTTGTTTTTAGTTTTGCTGTCTGTCAAAGAGCAGTCAGGCAAAACATTTCCATTGGTTAACCACTGATTTACCCTCCCCCCCTACCATGCAGCTTCTTTTAGTGTTTGATAGGGGGAAAACTAAAACCTCTGAGATTTGTCATGAGTCACTGTGGTACATGCAAGGTTAACATGCAGAAAGCATTCATGTAAAGTCAGTTTGTCTCTTTTTTTTCAGACTAGAACAAACTATTTTCCTTCGTACGGGAAATGTTTTCAAAGCTCTGTGAGATTTGTCGAGTGTTTTTAATTATTTATAGAGATATCCACAAAACGGATGTTTCTTGTGGTTTTGTTTCAAATCATCAAACAAATCTTGATGTCAAAGATAATCTAAGTAAATACAGAAATATGTTTTCAAATGAAGACTTTTTTTCATCACAGAAACGCAATCAGACCTGAGTGAAAAGGTGATTCCCCTCTAAAGCCTTATAGCCGATTGTGACACCGTTGCTAACATCAGTGTTTGTGATGGCGACAAGTCTGGGTCGACCCTGTAGAGCAGGGCGCTCAGACTCATTTTCATCTGGGGTCCAGAATGTATTGATAAAACAAACTGATAAAATATTAATAAGTCTGCATTTGGCAAGTTCTTTTTAAAATGAAATGGTTTTGAACTGATCAGTCCCTCCAGGATTTCATGATTTTCGGGATTTTATTGCAATCAAAATCACTGATTTTGTGGCGCTGACTTAGAAATATTTACAATTCTGAGATATTTATGCTTACATATAACTGGAAATGTGACTTTTTGATATTTGCAACATCAATCGCAGATTGTAAGACATACTGCCACCTGCAGGTGGGAGTTGGCGTCACTTAAACCCAATGTTTTTGACCAATTCAGAATTTATTCGTAATAAACTTGTGGAAAAAATATTGAAGTTTGTTGATTTTGAGTGAAGTTCCGATCGATGTAATTTAGGTCTTCTGGCTCTGGTTCTGCTCTGCATCCCCAGAACTGGAACTAGAACCGAACATGGAGAAGCAGCATTCAGCTTCTATGCACCACAAATCTGGAACAAACTTCCAGAAAACTGCGAAACAGTTGAAACACTGAGTGCCTTTAATTAAAACTGTTCAGAGCTGCTTAATCAATAATAACTGGAAAACTGATCAATATATTTTGTGTGTATAGATGATGGCATTGGACAAAATATGAAATATACCGTAAATTACGCTCTCTGCAGCTGTGAAGTTGCCGTATTAACCCGATACTTGCTGGAAAGTGCAACGTCTCCCCTTTCAGAAACCGTTGGGATTTTTCAGATAGCGCTACGTGTGGCGGAATTACGGTACTGCAAATTTAGATGTGTCGCCGCCGACACGTTCCGGTCTAGAAGGGTTAAGGATTGGAAAGATTTAAATGTGACAAAAGAGCAAAACAGAAGAAATCTGGGGGCCAATACTTTCTGACGTCAGACAGACGTGAGCGCTCTGATTTAGTCATACAGACCCTTTTAGCGTTATCTGGACAAAGTGAAGAAGTTTTCTTCCTTCACACGCAGTAACCCATTTTAAAAATTCCCAGCACCTGGCAAGTAATTTTATGACTGACAAACACAAGAAAACCTTTAAATGTCTGTTTTAACCAAACTTTTTTTTTGTCCCAGCTGAGCTTTTCATCCTCATTTCAATTCAAGTATTTTCTGATTTAAAGTCTTTTTTACGCCATAGATTAGCACACCAGATACCAAATGTAGTGTAGAGCTAATATATCCTCTGCTATGTGAGTCTCATTTATTCTTTCTTTTGCTGATTTCACAGAATGTTTCTGTCATTAAGTGATGTAAGGTGTTGCATAAAAACTGTTGGAGACAAACACAGTGGTGCCATTTGAGGTTTGTTCTGGTTTTAAGCAGTTCCCCTAATAAAATATCCCACCTTTACTAAACTCTAGACAGATATTCTCTCTGGACTCTCCTCACCTCAACTCATCAAATGTGTTTTAATGGCATAAAAATAGATTTAGATGCATAACACTAGTGTGTTTTCACCCGGTCACACATACTATTGAGAAAGCAAACTTGGCTAACTGAGTGGCTAGCTCAAAGTAGTACGTTAAAGAGGCGCATTGTTTACAGAAGTTAAAATGGATGGAGCTGTTTATGGATGGATTTTAAAGTTTATTCAGCAGTGAGAGCCAACAGTATTGTCACAAGATCATGACAACATGAAGAAAGTTAATAGCACTGACATCTGACCTTCTGTGGAGCGTCGACTGCCATTTTCTTAGGATTAGTCAGAGCCATGAGTGGTGGGACTGTGATGTGATGCGCTTCAGTGACAAACTTTTTTTCATAAATTCATAATTTTCAACCATTTTTTTATGTCCAGATTTGCAGCGGCTAGGTTTTTCCGGTGCAAAATTATGCCAAGAGTCAGATAAGATGCGGCATGACGGTTCAGACTGCAGACACTTTGAAAGCAATCAGATACGCATCCGAATTGGTACCACGTATGTATGTATAGGCACAATCGGATTTTTTTTTTTTGGTGTGAAAAGTTCAGAATTGGGCTGTTCAGACTGCCGTAGAAAAGTTGGATATTAGTTGCATTTCCCTCACATCAATAACGTAAAAGCCAGACAAAAAGGGACATGATCGTTCAGACTGCAGACACTTTTTGGAAAGAGTCGGAAACGTATCCAAATTAGTACCTCATATGGAAGCGACACCGATCAGATTTTTTTGGGCGAAAAGATTGGAATTGGGACGTTCAGACCGTCATGAAACAGTCAGATATTAGCCTTAGAGACTTATGTCCTAATTCCATCTTCAGAAGAAACTTCAAAGTATGTTGCGTTCAGAGTTGGCTTGGTGAACTTGGTGTATTTGACCATTCATTATTGTCACAGGCAATCCTGATGTCCGAATGCTAAGATAACTGGGATCAGATTGGGACCTTTTTGGTTTTTGAGAGATGTCACAGATATCTGAATGCCAGTGATTTGTAGAAAAGGAAGCCATCCGGGTCTGTCGAAGTAAAACCTGTCTCCTCTGCCTTCAGGTCAGGCAGCTGCGAGGGCAGAAGGCGGCTCCGAGCTCCCGGATCGGCTGCGGAGGAGGAAGCACCAACTACCAGGACCTGCGCTTGGCCAGCCCCACCTCCGCCGAGGGAGACTACCTTAGCTCAGACGACGACCTCCTCAACAGCCCACTGCCCGCCACCGCCCTTTACTCCACGCTGTCCGACCCGTGTCACCAGTCGACCCGGCTCGACAGCGAAGGCAGCACGGACAGCGAGGCGGAGGAGCGGGTACAGACGCATCCAGACCCGCAGCAGCTTTATGGCAACATGGTGTGCGCTGACGTGCTGGACAACTGAGACCTGGAAAGGCTTCGGTCGCTCCTTTGCATTTTTTCCCCCCCAAGGAGAATCCAGGGGCAACTCTTACTGTTGATTTTCTTAATCAGTCTGATCCTCTTTGGCTTCCCCAGTGTTTACCGTTTGTGTGACGCAGACGTGGTGGTACCGAATGACCGTCTTCTGCCCATCTCCTCCTGTCGTCTCTGTTCCTGAACGTCTCGACGTCACCAGAAAGTCTTATCCGGTGTTCCTTCAAGAAGCGGCGATGTAAGGCCGGCCGCTCTCCATATCCGTGTGCCAGAAACTGCATATCCTTCGAAACATAATCACCCAACATGCATACAGAGAGGACTGACTGTATCACAACTGCTGCTGCTCGCTGCTCAAGATGTGTGGCCACAAGGAGGGGAAAGATGGGAAGCCACATTTCCTGAGTCTCTACGACTGAAGATTTACTCCCATAATGCACTGCGTTCCCCAACTCCTCCTTCCTGGTTGGCTCAGAGTTAAAACAGCTTCATAATCACTTTTCTCCCTCAGAAGATCCATCCATTATTTCCGATTTCTGTGGAAACGTTCACCCCACCCCCAACAATATGAAGGTTGCTGCAGAGGAACATACACACGCCGTTCGGTTACATAACAAGATGGTTTTCTCAAATAATTCATATTGAATACTCGTCTTGTCTGTGTGTAGCTTGCAGTTGCCAGGAAGCGAGCATGTCAGTGCAGCAGTTCATCTTCAAACCGTTTCAAAACAGCCCGCAGAAAAGCTAGAAAGTCAAAGTTGCCAAATCGTTTTTGTTTTTTTTATTATTTATATGTTTTAACTTATTTTGGTATGTTTTTTTTCTTATTTTTTTATATATCTGTATAAACTCTTAGTCATTATAGGGATACCAATAGAGGCCAAACTTTACACCGTCCTTTGTGCCAACCTGTCATTTCTTGTGGGTTTACTGTGACACTGTTTCAGAGACAGAAAGATGTGCTGCTATGATTTTGGATTTATCCTCTTTAGGTGTTTTTTTTTGTTTGTTTTTAGTTGTTCTAGATCACTGCTTTACTGAAAACATGTCACTTTTTCTTATGTGCCACAGTTTAAAGTTGGGAGTTGCTTTGCAAAAGCAGAAAAAAAACAATTAACTTTTTTTTTTTTTACATTAAGCACTCAGTTTCTCTGTGAGAAAGAGAAACAGGTTTGGTCTTTATTTCACTGTCTTTTGACATTTGGCTGAGCATGGAGAGTTGATGTTTGCTTTCTCTGAAACAAAGGGCATATCATGTTTAACAGGAAACACTGAAACACTGTGTAACATTGAGTACAAAGAATTAATGAGGAAAATGTCAACTTGGCTGCATTATTTGACAATTTCTAACAGATCTTTTAGAATTAGCAATCACAATAGACCCAATTAAAGTTTTTGAGTTTAACATCTGACTTATTAGAGGAAGAATTTTTAACTTTTGTCTAACGGTGGTACCTTGTTTTAGTTCATCCTAACCACTTCAGTTTCCCTGGTGATCAGATTTGATTACTTTTTGAAAGAGAAGAGCTCGTTTTTTTCATTCGGGGTCGCCAAACGTCATTTAAAATATGAATTTCAATCCTAAAAGAAGCGTTCTGCACAAATTGGATAACATAATTAGTTTGATATTTTTAAAGTTTGTGCAAATCTGTTTACTGGTCATAATCGTATCAGTAAACCACTGATACTTCCTGTTTAGATCAGTTTCTTTTTATTTATGTTTCTCAGTGATCCAAACGACAAAACCATCAGTCACTGGTCGTAAGTCTCTCGTCATCTACGACTGATCAGATTTGCAGAATATTGTCTCAAATAATTTTTTATTTCAATTGTATGCCTTGGTTATTTTTTTTATTTTTTCAGTAGAGAATAACTCTTTAATAGTTTATCCCTTTAACACAAGTGAAAGCCTTTTCTATATGCTTTTCTATATAAAGCATATAAAATATAATGGCAGACGGCATTTGATTTGGTCGAACATCAAGCCCTACAACATGTCTGAAGTTTGTCGGTTTAGATGCATTCTTGTTGTGAATAGTGCATGTATACAAGGACCAAAGGTGTGAAACTCACAGTATTCGGTTTCATCAAGATGGTGCACATTACACAGTCCTTTTTTTTTTTTTTTTTTTTTTTTTTTTTTTTCTGTCATATTTGAAAATTTACCAACCATCTGGGAATTAGATTTTAATGCGCTATAAGATGTCCGATAATAATTAACCAAATTATGTTTGGTACGCAAGAGAAACGACTGAAAAATATTTTTCATATCAAACGTAGTGTTGTTTTGTTTAAACGCAAAGTATTACCTACAGCATAATTCAGATATTTAAAGCTATATCATGTTCGGTCAGGTCTTGAGTAGTTTGAAAAACGAATACGTTATCAAACAGGGTGTTTTCATATAAAGCAGCCATCTTTGCTTTTTTGCACTACAAAGAAAGATTTTAAAAAAAAGGTAGAAGATGAGTAATTTTTGGAAATGCATATAAATTATTTCTCATTATTTTCATCTACAGAAACAGATTTAATAGGTGAATGGCTTATGTCCAACACTTCTTCAGGTGCTTTACTCTTCAGTTCAAATTTAAAATTAAGTTAATATCAGGAAATCGATCCTAATCCTTGTAGTTTATTCTGTCTCTTTAAGGGCATCCGATTCAAAAGCTTGTTTTCCTCTGAACAATTTTGTTGTTGAAGCACTGAAACTATTTTAAAATAAGCATCACAGCCACACTTTTGATCAACTTAAGTTGCTCCGTTACTTCTGTTTCTTCGTTTTCCAGCGCGTTTGCAACACTTGGGTACAGAATTCGTCCCCCGTAACGTTTTTTTACGTTGCATTGTCCAAGTGAAACCGTGACGACATGCAGCCCCGATGCCATCTCCTGCGAAATAAGGAAACTGGATCTTCCAGCGATGGCCATCAGAGCTGCAAAGAGGATGTTGGCTTCCCCACCACACTGTTGCAAATAACAGCCTTTTGGTGTCAACAGCTGGATGTAGCAACTGAAATCTCGACACTGGAATCGGCATCGAGATTTTGGATACCGTCAGGCAAAAAAGAAATGAATAAATGAAACGTATTAGCCTCTATATGGGGTCAGTCATGTTAACACAATTGGTGATGAGTGGAGAATACAACAGCTGGCTACAAATGCTAAAGGGCAATTTCACTCTTTTTGTTTTGGACTGCGTTGGTTCAAAACCTGAATGCTCAAACCTGAACTGTATTTTATGGTCTCATAATTAATCTTTAAAGTTGATTTCAAAAGGAGCCAAAAGGGTAAGAATAAATAAATTAATCAAATGTTGAACTTGCAGGGAAATTACTGAGGAAACGTCCAACATCGGTGATGGTGCTCCGTTCTCACCACTGTCTCTCAACCCAACTAGATCCAACTGTGATTACTTTTTTTATTATTTGTAAATTAGTTTTAATATGGTAGCATTAACCTTCAGTGTCATAACTTTGACTTGTTAGCAGTACTACAGTATGTGAGAAAATGATCAAACGTGCCATAAAGGTTGGGAGATTATCTCATTATGTCGCCATTTTGACTGGAATTCAAAGCTGTTTTACATGGGACTCACTGTGTTACTCCAGGTTTACCATCTTGGATTAAAAAGAAAAGTTTTTGTTTCGGATCGCCTGATCTGGGATTCCTCTCATCTCTGTACTGTATGTGACTGCTGTTTCATACCCACAGCATTCAGCCGCTCATGCAGTTCAACTCATGTTGTCAGACACATTATTATTATACGACAGTAAAAATGGTATGGATTTCAGTATGATGGGGATAAATACATTTCAGTGTCCTGTATCCTATGAATGATGCAAAATAAACTTTGACATTGCACCTTTGCACAGGTCTGACTTTATTGTTGTCTGACATTCGGTAAATAATCTCTACGTTACATCAGCGTATAAACGTTCAAATGTAACTTTGGTCTTTCACAAGGAAGAGATGTGTGCAGCAAATGATGCCTTCAAAACTTGCAGCTGTTGTAAAGATGAATAATGTATTATATTTACTTTCTGAACAGTAAATCTTACAGAACAAGACAAATATACTGCCACGTTTAAAGATATTTATATAAAACATCGTGTTATCTGTACTAAGGTTTTTAGTATAAATAGTGTGTTGCAAAATGATCCAAGCATCATTTTAATAATTTTTGTCACATTGAAACCACAAACTTCAGAGTTGTTTATTTTATTTGGATTTTATGCAACAAACCAGCACAAAACATCTCAATCTCAGTCCGACTGAATTGAGGGCATCCATTTCCAACCATCGCCACAAGAACTCAAGTGGATTTAGGTGTGGACTTTGACTGGACCATTTTAACAGATGGATATGAACCACTGTGTGTTTAGATTAATTTACGTCCCAATCTCAAGTCTTTTGAAGCTTTTTCTTCCAACCAAAAATCCTCAGTTTTGGTCTCCTGCAGCTTCTTCGTCATCTCCTTTGTCCTGTCATCAATTTCTCCCACCTGAGCTGTTGATTTCTGCAGCCCCTCCAGAGTCACCCTCAGCCTGTCCTGGTCGGCTCATCTTTTCATTTTCCATGGATTGAACATTCCTCTGTGGGATGTTAAAATCTTTCTATAATCTTCTTCCTCCCTGCTGTGTTCTTTGGTCTTCAATGCGATGTTCCCAAACGTCAAGGAGCATTTCTGTTAACACTGAGAGTAAATTACGCACAGACAGACGATGTGGACTATTTTATTTAGTTGTCTTAGAGTAAGGATGGCATTAAAAGCTAATCCAAACCATGATTTCAGAGTTTTAGTCATTCTTTTTTCTAAACAATGTATCATTTCTACACATTTTTATTAATCTATATCATAAATTGCCATTAAAATACATAATCTGTGGTTGTTACATGAGAAGAGTGGAAAAGTTTGATTTTTATGTCAACTTTATAACTAGATGCTCAAATCAAGTTTGTATCATATATCGTGATACATTTCTTTTTGATTAAATCCAAATAATGATGTTTTGAGGAAAAAAACAATATTGTTGGTTTTGTCAAGATTATTGTTTTTTTACTATTATGTTGACTATTTGTTCAATAAGCATCAATAAAGATTAATACATTTGTAAAATGTGATAAGGTGTAGCTTGTGTGTGCAGTTTAGTGATAAAAATCACAATTTTTTGTGACTTGAATTACAGATAGTATTTGTGTTTGTGCACTGTAAAACATTTGAAGTTGGTTTAACTTGAAAATGAAAGTCCACCTGCTGCCTGGAAAATGCAGTTTAGACAAAGTCATTTTGGTTTTAACTCAGAAATTAAAGTTTATGAAGTTGATTTAACAACAAGAGACAAGTTGTTTAAACTTTGTTTTTTAAGTTCTTTGATCTTGAATTGTGAGTTTTAACTTAATGCTGCAATTTAAACAAAATAATTATTTCACAATATCAAAAAAAACTAAAGATCCACATTTCTCTATTATTTAACTCACAATATAAAGTAAAATAAATGCTTATTTTACTTTAGAATAATTTTTGTTTCAAATTGCATGAACAAAATTTCTGATCTGATAATGAATTTTATTAAACTTCACAATGAATTCAGCTCAGAAACATTTAGTGTGAACAGGACTTTATCCTCAAGCTTTAAAATAAACATTTTCCTTAATAAAACACCAGAGTCGGATCAATGTGACGCACTTCCATCTCGGGATACAGAAACATGCCGCTAAGCATTCTGGGAAATAGTTCCCATTACTGTCTTTTTCGTCTTTCAGTTTTTTAAGTGCTAACCTAAAAACTCTAGTTTATTCAACTCTTGGAGGTTTGACAAAATTTATAAAAAGTTAACAACTTACTGCTGTAAGTTTATCTTTCACAAACTCACATTTAGGTTCAAAAACTAAAACCGGATAAATTTATTTGACGAATAAATTTGACTCTTTAATAAATTTCACTCTTCAAGCTTGGATGTTTTTCAGTGTAGTTCTATAATTGTTGTCTCATGCAGTCACAGTTATTCAGTTACATAAAAAGAAGTTCATTTTTCTGCCATGAACTTTAACATTGTCACAATGGTACCAACATACATCCTGGTTTTAACGTCTCATGTTTGTTCTGTGGAAAATGACAAATCAAGTTTTTAATCAGGTAATGTTTAATTCTCTGCTTTCGATTTGGAGTGATACATATGTAGAAAATGTGTTTTTTATTTACTCATACGATGACTGTGAATATATTTGCTAAATGGTCGAACCAAAGTTTTCCAATGACTTGCGAGCCAAGAATGAATCACTGTTCATCAGAGACGTTTGCATTTCACTCGCAAATCTGGTAATAAATTTAGAAATTCTCGCCACAGTTTGCTTCAGGTTAGTTTCACCAGAAACCAAAAGCACGATGATGATGATGATTATTATTGAATTAGAAAAAAAAAATGGAATAAACATGAACTGAACTGACTTTGTGGCCTTCCTGTTCCCCTAGTTTTCATTCAATACACCAGAAGCAAATTGTTGTTGCATTAACCTCCTTCTTCTAAACCCGACCTCGATGGTCTCTGTTGAAACACGACCGTGTCGACACAACGTGTCGACACTTTCTGCAGAATTTCCAGCGCAGTCTCCTTCCTCTTAATCAGATTTATTTAATTCCTCCCTAGTCGGGCCTTCTGTCGTGGGTGGCTTTGCGCCCCACTGCAACCTTCCTGTGATTCCTGCACACTTGGGGTTTATTTTTAAACCGAGCCGGGTCGTTTTTGGTGCTGCTGCTTCCTTGAGTGTGCAGCGCTTCAGTTTGTGTGTGAGGAAGCTTTGTGGTGTGGGTTCAAAGGCTTCAGCGCCGAAGCACTTCCTCGTCCTCGGTTGCTCTCATCACTTCGACCCAGAGCGATCAGCCTGTGAGCGCGCTGACCATGTGTCCTCTCTCTGGCTTCATGTGAGCCTCCGGTCCGTCAGACGGCGACAGCAGGAAGTCTCTGGGATGCTGGGGAGCTTCGGTGGGATGTAAAAAAAATCTGGTGAGTGTTTGCACTTTTTATTTTAGTTTCATTCTAACCACTTGTACACATCTGCTCATACATACACTTTCCTAAATGTGTAATCTGAAAAACTCCTCGTTTGGTTTCATGTTGAACACTGGAGACTCAGTCCTACAGTCAGAGCTTTTAGGATTCCCAGGAACGTTTCTCCACCTTCAACATCACGTTTTTACATTCCTCTAATAATAAACTGATTAACAATGATCGAGGATGACTCCTTGTTCATCTTTGGTCATTTCTGAGACAAAATCTTGATCGCAGCGAACCGGGTTGTGTTAGAGAGCTTCCGGCCCAAAGAGCCATCACCAGCGGCAGGAGCAGCAGCAGCAGCAGCATAAATCACAGCCTTCAAGCGTAAACGTCTCCTGCAACTCCTTTGTGTCTTGATGAAGAGAAAACCTGATCAGAAATTAAGTTCGGTGATCTTCAGAAACGAGTTTTTACTTCTTTTGTTTGCACAAGAAACCCCTTTAAGATGTAACACGCGCACACACAGGTCAAAGGTTAAACTTCTGCTCCTTTTGATGTACTTTATGCTAAGTAAAAGCAGGCTTTCTGTCTTTTCTAGGCTTTTAACACCTAACTGATGTGATTCTAAAGTCAGGCAAGCTAAATTCAAGCGTAAAAATGCTCTTCCACTTCATTCATTTTACGCAGAGACGAAACCAAAATAGAAACGTTTCAGAAAAATGAATTACATCCCAAAACGGGCAGATAAGCACAAAATACACAAGTCAGGAACTGAAAGGGCGGATTGTCTGGCTAAGATTTTCAGACACTCTGGAGTAAAAATATCCCAGTTTTCATTATGAAACACAGAATAATGTTTTCTGTAACATTTGTAGTTGTTTTACACCAGCTGAGCAGCAGTGTGCAGCAGAAGGTGGTGGAGGTTTAGCAGGGTGTTACTTTGTTCTCCATGGAGTCGAAGAAAACTCAAATTGTTCCAGCAGCTTTTTCAACTAATGTCCTGACTCATATCTACAACCTCTTTCTTTCTTACCATGAGTGATGTGTAATACATGAGCACGACGTCATTTCAAATAAAAAAAAATTAAACATCTATTGTTTGTTAAATTAACTTTTTGAATTAGGTTTAAGACACACAAAGCAGATGGTTTTCATGATTTCCGATATTTTTTGCTGTAATCCCAACAAGTCTCTCGTTGTAAACGATGTCATTCTTCACAAAAAAAAAAATGCATTAACTACTGAGCATTTATTTTAAAAAATGACATGTTTGTTCCAGATTATTTTTTAAAAAAATTGTTTCTAATCTCGTAGTTGTTGTTGAACCCAGTCTGTAGAAAACCCGTGTTCATGGTTGGAAACCATATCTGTTCATCTAAAACAAAAAATCTACGTTTTAAGATTCAAAGTTATTATTCAGTAAACTGTCACAAACACTCACTTTGGAAATGTACAAAAACTAAGCTATTTACGCTACGATTTACGACACTAGCAGCTTTTATTTTAGCGCTATTGAACAGGAAAGAGGACAGAGAGAGGAAGAGGAGGAAGACATGAAGGCCGAGGACAAGACTGACAGCCTCAGTGAGTGACGTCCTGCCCCACTTTGGATATATTAATTACATTTTTTGCAGTCAGTACATCTCATTTCACCACACAGAATGAAAGACTTTCACAAAATACTTCAATTAGTTCATTAAACCTCCTAAATTCAACTTAGATTTGCTGCTTTAAAACATGGCGATGATGGTCCAACCCCGCTGGTTTCTATCAGCAGCACCATGAACTGGCGTCTCTCCTTTAAATGTGTCAAGTGCAGACACTGAGTCATGAGACGTGTTGCTTTTAAGTGATAATGGTCCGCTTCTCATAGCTGTTGGGTGCAAATTTAAACCTCAGTGTTAGATTCAGTTCCAGTCATTAAACAGTTTTGCTTTGTTTCATCGTTTTTCAAGTCTGAGAAAGTAGCGAACTGTTATTTATTAATCCTTTGTTGGGAACCCTTGTAGAAAAGAAAGCGGTGGCGGCACCAAGCAGGGCAGTGCCCGGCCCGGCCTCACCGGCCCTGTGATGGAGGGAGATGTTTTTAATGAGTTGTAGTATTTACTTACTTTATTATGTAGTTAGTTATGCCTAAGTCCATTTTTTATCTTCCATCGTATGCTGCTTTGACTCATCATATTCTCCTCTTATAAATGACACTGCATTAAAGGCCTGCTGAAAACTATGACTTTCGATTTTGGTTTCTCATCCCAAGATTATCACCGGCTCACATCTGGCCCGCCCTTTTGAAAACTTTCTGCATAAACTCCTGCACAAAACTGCATTTTTAAAGCTTAGCAACAAGTACAGATAGGAAAGAGACCACGGTTAAATATACAGAGTTTCCAGGTGTATTTTAAAGTAAAACTAGTAGATTTCTTTCTTTCTTTTTTTCTTTTATTTCTTTTTTTTTTTTTTTTTTTTTTTGTTATTTTTTTGTTTTATGGAGTATTGGGAACAAAGCACCTAATTATCATCCAAAATATCAAAATTAAATTCACAGGATATGGTTCATTTATTGGGAACCGGAAACTGAAAACTGCCTTGTCATTGTCTCGTTTAATCCTGTAATTCCGTGGCTGTTTTTCCGTAAATACGAGGTTCAGATTTAAACCAGAGAAAGAATGTAGTTCTGCTGCCCCCTTCTGCACAGTAAGAGTATTTCTGGTTCCACTGTTTAAGAGGTTCTCACTAACACGGCAAAAAAAAAAAAAAAAACTAATCTGAACCATTTCTAGTAATAATTTTTGACATACTTTGTCAAATTTTCTGAAGCTAAATTTAACTGTGTGATCTCTTTCTCTCTTTTTTTTCTTGCTGTAGTTTACTTTGAATCAGCTGAGTGATGCCTCGATCTTTTCTGGTGAAGCGCGGAGGGCTGCACCACCTTCGGGCCGCAGTGAGATGCCCCAGTCCTGGTTCCACCCCGGTGGTGTTCGGCAAGCTAGAGAAAAACGTGGAGTCCTGGGACGCGTCCCTGGGGTACTCCGCAGCCAAAGAGCCAGATGAAAAGCAAGCGTCTATTCTAACCTCACAGGCCAACATTTATGTTTCCAGTTGCACCGATGCAAACATGCACCTTCTTCAGCAATTCAGTCCCAAATCCAACGGTAGGAGACATATTCCTTCATGAGTCAAGTTCTTTTAAATTTCCAAATCTTCTTCATGCATCTCTACTTTGCATGTGTTTTGGGATGAAAGGTGCAAAATGCATGTTACTGTAGCATCTTTTCTTGATGAATCAAGTTTGAGATTCAGACTCAAGTTGCATTTAAGTTTCAAAATAAAAGACTTGAAACTTTAATTGTACTGAAGATATTTGACTATACTGCAAAAACATAATATTTTTACCAAGTATTTTGGTCTAGTTTCTAGTTTCGAGATCAAAAATACATGTTTGAATATCTTAGTACACTTGAAATAAGACAAACTAACTTACTCGTAACTTTTCTTAAAGATGTATGAGCTTATTTTAAGCAATTTATTCTTTAATATTGATGAAAAAGTACGTTACAGTGACAGATTATTTCACGCCACACATGCAGTATTACAAATGTTGGAAAAGTTGTCAAATTTGATCGTCTGAGGTTTCATGTTTATAGGTTTATGACCATGTGATTTTTTTTTAATACCCTGCATTTCTTTTCTGTAGGGTGTACCTTTATCAAACAGGAGAAAGGGGGCGCTATCCCTCCCGTAACAGGAGCATGGCTGAGTTCTGCCGTGAGCTCAGATTATCCGGACAAACTGTCAGAGGACCTGGGACATCTGACTCCACCACAGCACATCGAGAGGGAGACGAGGAACAGCAGCTGCTCCAGGATCAGTGCACTGAGGCAAGAGTGTCTGCTCTGTGGCAAAGTATGTCAACATTTCAACTATTCACAATTGAATGTTTTTGTACTTTCATTTGAGTCTCTACTGCTACTAAACAAACCCCCCCTCCCCCCCAAAAAAAACTCCGTATAGCTGATTAATGGGATTAAGTTCATGTTTTTTTGGGATCTGGAAAGTGAGCTAGCAGCCCAGGCAAAGCTCAGCCCATTACCTAGCAACCTCAGAGAAGCCCAGCCTGTTACCTAGCAACCCCAGAGAAGCCCACCCTGTCACTTAGCAACCCCAGAGAAGCCCAGCCCGTTACCTAGCAACCCAAGCAGAGCTCCTGCACAGTTATTCAGCTGTTTTTTTCTTGTATAACTGTGCATCTGTTTGCAGCCATTTTTATGTGAGTATAAACACTGACTTCGGTGACCATTTTGAATTTTAAAATGACAACAGATCCTAAAACAGTTCTCTCTGAAAGGAGATCGAATTAGGCACAACTGAGCCGACTAAAATGCCCTTATCTAAGAATGATTTTGTTTAAAACAAATGTAGTGAACGTGTTTTGTATGCTCTAACCTGTTCTAGGAAGCATAATAGGTCACCTTTAAGAGCTAAAAAAAAACAAAAAAACCTTTGCACCAAGAACTCTCAATATTTTTAGATCATTTTTTATATTTTCAAACACTTTCTAATGATTCACTAGTCTAGCTAAACACCATTCATCTCTTTTCTGCAGATATTTTCATCTCTGTCAAGCCTGAAGACACATATATGCAAAAGTCATGGAAACAAAGCTGCCCACTTCAAGGCCAGCAGGGCTGATAATAAGAAGTCTTCACACAGGGGCAAGGTCAGAACCGCAGATGCTTTACAGACGATTTATATTCAGAAAGCAGCACTGAATGTTGTATTTTAACGACTCTCACTTCCACGTTTCAGGAGAAGACCTTCGGCTGTGAGGTGTGTGGGAAAGTGTTCAAGCGTTCCTCCACTCTCTCCACCCACCTGCTCATACATTCGGACACACGGCCGTATCCCTGTCAGTACTGCGGCAAGAGATTCCACCAGAAGTCGGACATGAAGAAACACACATTCATTCACACAGGTAGGTTTATGCTAGCTGCTAGCATCGGTGACACGAATGTGCCGAGTTGAGCTTCTGATTGTTACTGAAACTTAATGTTGTACACTGCAGCTTTGACAAACCAACACTGTAATAAGATGCAAACTGGTGTAAACTCTGTAAGCTGCTGCGCTTTTTATATATTTCTATATACAGCTCTGGAAAAAATTAAGAGACCACTTATAATGATCG